ACAAATCTAAGTGGAAAATCCAAGAGGGAAAAGATTGTTGTTCACGCCTCGTCTGGCTAAGTTCTCTCAATGTCTGTGCCTCCTGGGTCTGTAGCTCCATCCCAAACGCTCCCCCAGGCCCCAGGCTCCTGCTCACTGAACCTGACCTTTCCCCCAAGCCTGTTCCCTGGCAGCCTGCACCCCCTCAGTGGCCAAGACCACACATCCTGGAGAAATCCTGAGCAATCCACCCAGAGAGCACCAGGCCCTATCTGCGAAGCAGCCGTACTCCTGCCATCTCAGTAGCTGACCCTGAGCCAGGACACTTCTTTCAGGGCCTGGAGGGATGCAGTAGCACCTGGCTGGCTTCCCTGTTCCCACCTTTGTCTACAGTTCATTCAAGAGAGGACTGCAGGGCCCTTCCAAACACTGCCAGACCATGCCTCTCCTGTAGGCAGAAGCCTGCAGCACTCTTGGTTACGCTCAGTGTGAAACAAAGTCCGTACAGCAGCTTTAAGTCCCCATGTGATATGCACATCCCCTCCACCCCCACTCTCACACCTGTCTCCCGCAGGTCACTCCGCCCCCAGGGCAATGCACTCACTCTTCCTAGAGAACCCTGGGGCACTTTCCTGCACGTGTCTGCTCAACTGTCAGGTGCTCCGTGAGCTCCGACTACACACCATAGTCTTCACACCCAACAATCCAGATGCAAACACTGTTCGCTTGACTCTCTTGAACAAGGTGAGGTCAGCACCATGCATCCCAGGGTAAGCATGAAGGAAAGTCCCCTTTCACTTCCCAGAGGGAACCTGTTTGGCAGGCTAGAGTCTAGGGTCACCCTAGGATGCATCTGGCTTTATCCTGCAACCCTTCTTCCCAGCACAGAATTGGGCTCGGCCCATAGGTATCCCCCAGCTCCCTGCCAACTCCTAACATCTAGCTGACTCCTCCTTTATCATCTCTGTGCTCCATCCTTGTCCCCTGACAACATCAGAACCCCCATGCACCCGCGGGCAAGCAGACACCCCACGGTCACCGGGGATGGGGTAAATTGTGTGTGAGACCAACACCTTGCCTGTCTGTAACGCTGGGCAATCCCTCTCTGCCTCGGTTGTTTACAAACATCGTCTATCCATCCCCTCAACAAAATGAAGGAGCTCCAAAGAATTTGCAGGGGGGGAAATGGACTGAAAAGACCATTTTCTACAAACTCGGAAGCCCCTTCGATTCGTTGTGCATCAGCCACCACCTGCCAGTGGGCACCGTGTGGGCACATGAAGCCTTTGCTCTGGTGGAGCTGAAGCTCCCAGGAGGAAGGCAGTCAGCAAACGGACCAGGAATAAAGACAAGTGCAGGCGAGAACCACTCAGGCCAGTTTGCTACTGTAGAGCCAGGCGGGAGGCCCTTGTGGGCGGCAGAGAAGTCCCTGAGGAGGAGACTGAGACTTGAAGGATGAGCAGGATGCCATCCTGTGGTGGCAGAAACACGGTGCTTGGTGACATTAGCAAGGGGAGTTTAGTTAAGTGGTGGGGTACGCAGCCAGCTCAGAATGGTCTGAAGACCGGAGTCAACGATTCATAATAACGCTTCACTGAAATCGCAGCAGAATACTTCCTTATGTTCATCTATCTGAAACCTAGTTTAACATCACACCTCACTAGTGAAAGCATTCCCATGTCTCGATTTATTTTGTGTATAAGAAATAACTTTACATACAAGAGCAGTTGAATATTCCCAGCCCAGAGAAAACATCCCAGCCCAGATTAAGTCCATAAGTCCGATAGTAGCTATTATGTCCAATACCAATCTATAAAGTCCTCTTCAGACTCATGAAACACATGCAATTCTTTATTTTTTTTAATATTGGAGATCCCACGCCAATACAAAAACTCAGGAACAATAGACAAGATATTGTCTAGATCAGTGTTCCTCGGAGTGGGATAGACCACGCCCCTGTGGGTGCTGGATCGATCCAGATGGGGCTGCAAAAGCAGGTATCTAGGGGGGAGGGAGGGAAAAAAGAGGAGCTGATAACAAGGGCTCGAATACAAAGTGTTTAGAGAATGATGATGGCAACATATGCACAAAAAGGCTTGGATACAATTGATGTATGAAATGTTACAAGAGCTGTAAGAACCCCCAATAAAATGTTTTTTAAAAAAAAAGCAGATACCTACACTTTATCCTGGGTCATGGGCTATAGAACAACAATCCTTCATTGCCAGGGGGGGTTGAGTAAGTTTTTTAAAGGGATAGTAGGCCAAATAAGTTTGGGAACCTGTGGTGTGGATGATTAGAACTAATGGAGGGGTTCAGGGATGTGGCTTGACAGAGAACACCTTGCAGGGGCCATGCACTATAAAGTGGCTCCTTGCAGCCAACGTTTCTAACTCTGCACTGTAAGAAGGTGGGGGGATACTGATAGGACTCATCTGTGAGCCATTGCAAACAAGATTCCCTGCAGTGGCACCTTGCTGTGTATAAGCTGAGCCCCATGAGAAGCAGGAGGAGGGATCTCATTATGATCAAGAGCCAGCAGCAGAGCCTGTCCTCTGGACCTGAGATTCCGGGACAGTGAATGTCCTGGATCCGGGTGGCAGCTCTATCAGAGCAGCAGTAGCAGAACCAGAAACCAGAGCGTGGAGCAGAGATGGAGCCCAATCCATGGAGCAAGCTCAGCGAGTGCTTTTCTGTTGTCCACCCCCAGGGAGGAAGTCACACATAGGCCCTTTTGCTACTGTTATGAATCAGGCGACCCCTGTGAAAGGGTCGTTCGACCCCCAAAGGGGTGGTGACCCACAGGTTGTGAACTGCTAATTAACTCTTCTGAACTTTATCCTGGGGTCACAGTGGCCCTTTGGTCTTAAATGGTGGATGATTCTACGAAAAGGCCAGTTAAAGGGTGACTACGTGCTAATCTTAGGGGTCCCACCTGTCTCATCTGACCAGTATGATCGGTCTCTTTGATGACTTTGAGTTCTGTTCCACATTTTTCTCCTCCTCTATCCAGGACTTCTAAGTGACCCATTTCAGAGCAATCGGTGGTGGTAGCTGGGCACCATCTGGCTCTCCTGGTCTCAGGGTTGTGGAGACAGACGGATGGTTTGGGTTCTTTAGTCCACTGGACTAGTTGTTTCCACGTGTCTTTAGACTTTCATCACTTTTCTTCCCTTGGGACGGGGAGAGACCAATGGATGCACCTTGGATGGCTGTCCACGAGCTTCTAAGAGCTAGGGTGGGAGGGATTCTGAGGTCAGCTGGGAGGACTGGAGGCTGTGGTTGGAGTGGGACACTCGAGTTTAAGATCCAAAGGCAGTGCCATTTCTAGCGAGCCACGGCGCGGTTCAAGATGGACCTGAGGGAGTGGCAGATAAGGAGTAAAGAAAAAGTCCCTGGTGCCGACGGAGGAACACTCAACAAAGACCTGAGAGGGCATTGACCAGTTGGGCACTAAACTTTCCAACAACGAATACCTGATTTAATGGTGGGAAAAGGTTCATGGAGGAAAGCGCATGGGCGGGAAGCTGGTAGCTCGGACAGCTGGTCGGACTGATTAGCACGAACCTCAAAATTCCTCGGGAGTCTGTATGGGGGCGGGGGAGAGCTGGTCTGGCTGCAGCCACCACCAGACTTGAGACCCACAAGTGGCAGGAGAGGAGAAGGCTGCGGCATGGCGTGCAGTAGGTCAGTGCAGGTCCGGGGCTGACTGGGCGCCCGTGACATGGTGAGGGATGAGGGGCAGTCACAGCTGTACCACCTGTCCTGGCTCTCCTCATCTTTCCAACCCCATCCCTGATGCTTAGTATTGGTTTATAGTCACTGCAGGAGAATTTGGAAAGGGGACTATTAGTCACTTAAAAAAACAAAACAACACGGGCACACACATAACCAGAACGGAGTGACCGGAGGAGTAGTGGCGTTAGCAGGTTTCGGCAGGACTGATCAAGAGTCAGGCAACGCTCTGTTGTGGGGAGCTGGCCTGACCCCCTCCTGACAGCCAAACATGTTTCATAGACTCGAGGTGGAGAATCACGGGACCAGTGGGAATGGGGGTTGGGAAGGGGAAGGAGGGTTGGGCAGATCAGCAGGGAGAGTGGGAGAAGGGCCCTGAAATCCAGGCACCACTTTGGTGTACTGGTCTATAATCAGCCAATTTTCCCTTAAAAAACTACGAGCCTCAGATGAAGAGGAATGTGCCTTATGGAAACGGCATTTCCACAAGTCCACGTGAAGAGTTAAAACACAGGATGGGAACCGCCCTGCTGCATCGGGGAATCATCCAATGGGCCATCCCCGCAAACAGCAAGTGCAGCTTCCAGGCTCTGCTCCTTGGACACTTGTCTCAGAAGGAAATCCGAAAGCTCAACATACCAATTAGACTAGCTTTCTGAATATTATGGGGGAAAAACCACGCAAGTAACGACGGGAAAGAAATAGTCAAGGCAACGTTTATTAGGTATCTCCCAGCAATCGTACTACCTAAGGCATCTGTGGTGGCGCTTTGGCAAGGGTAGCACTTCTTTTAAGGCCTAGATTGGGCTTCAGGTCAAAATTATGTCATCCCTGACAGGGGCAATCTGGAGAGAATGTCTGCCTGGCCAGGGGTTGGGGGCTCTTAGGGATGACAACAGCTCAGGGTCAGACTCGGCAGGGCCCCGGGGCCCGGCCATAGCCCGACAGGCGGCCAGCCGGCAGAGCAGCTGCAGAAAGCGGGGCTGCAGCCACTCCTGGTCCTCCTCAAGCCGTGTTCTCAATGATGACCGCAATGCCCTGGCCACCGCCGATGCACGCCGACCCCACCGCGTATTTCCCACCGCGACGCCTAGGGAGGAGAGCAGTGGTTAACCCTACGCAGGTGGAGGACACGTGGAGGGAGGGGGTCGTGCACAGAAAAGATAAAAGGCCGCCTTGGCGTCCGTCCCTCAGTGCCACAGCTGCCCGAGCGCTGCCCGCATCCTCCACACGGCATACGCTCACAGGAGGAGAGACAGTTCAGAAAACTGGATCTGTACGTGTATTTCTAAGCGACAACAAAAACCAGTAAGGGACTGAAAGAGGGGACCTGAGAAGGGGACTGAGGCCCGGGGAATGGACACATGCTCCCCAGGGGCGGGTGCCCAGGGGCTGCACGGGGAGCGGAGCAAACACGAGGAAGCGTGCGTGCGTGGCCAGGGGCACAACCATCTGTAAAGCCGGCAGACACATGGTGCCCACCTCGCCGTGCAGCAGCCCACGAGGGGGAGACGGGGAGATGCTGCAGGGCATGGGGGCACGCTATGCCCTCCGGAGAGCGATAGCGCATCTGAAACCCTGTACCTTAATTCGTGAACCAGGTGCGAGATGATTCTGGACCCCGATCCTCCCAGCGGGTGACCCAGAGCAATGGCTCCTCCGTTCACGTTGCTTTTGCTCGGGTCCAGACCCAGACTTTTCTCAACGGCCAAGTACTGCGGGGCAAAAGCTTCATTCACCTGGCAGACAAAACGGTGATGCAAACACGGATTAGAATCCTGGCTCCGAAACAGAATCTCACCCAAGACTTGGCCTGCCCTATGGAAAGCCAAGGGGCGGTAGTGGTGCGGTGAGATGAGCGTTAGGTTGTTAACTTTGGGGCTGGGGGTTCAAACCCACAGGCAGAGAGATGTACTCCGCTCTCCTGGAGACTTCATCCCAGAAACCCTGTGCAGGGTCACTGCGGGTCAGGGTGGACTCAATGGCAGTGGGTCTGGTGTGGTGTTTGGGGATTAATGGCCAATTTTAATAATAGCAACTTGGCGGCGTCTTTCTTTTTAAATTGCCAGGAAGGCTATTTAATTGTCATCATTCTGTGCACAGCTAGCAGGTTTAAGGGGCATATTTATTAAATGATGCTCTGAAGCAAACGCATCTCTGAAAGCAGAGGATCCCAGACTTATCGAACCTTCAGGGGAAAAGCCTAGCACTTCCTTGGCAATTAAAAACGTCTCAACACATGGAACCCAGAACAGATAACCCTCAGGAATAACAATGGGAATGCTGATGCCCTGAGGGCAGGGGAGGGAGGGTGGACAGACCCCCAGACTCTCTGCCATGGGGTAGATGCTGGGGGAGAAGAGGGGAATAAGGGAGAACTGATGGCAATTATCAACGTGTAACACCCCCGTCCTCTGCTGAAACACGTGTGAAGGGAGACAGCGGACAGGGTAAGACAGGAACATGACAATACATTATAATTTATCAAGGGTTCACCAGGGTGGGAGGATGAGGGAGGGAGGGGGGAAAAAGAGGAGCTGATACCAAGGGCTCAGGTAGAAAGAAAATGTCTAGAAAATCATGATGGTAGCATATGTTCAAATGTGCTTGATACAATTGATGGATGGAAGAGCCCCCCCACCAATAAAATTATTTATTTAAAAAAATTTAAAAAGAACAACTTTTGTACTACAGCTCATAATCCAAAGCCCGTCTGAATCATTGCAGAGTCCCCAGGGGGCAGTGTTGCCGCACTTTGGGAAACACTGGAGTGAAGAAATGCTCTCTTGTCTGCTTGGACACTCCCCAGCGGCAGGGGGCTACTGCCGACTCTCCATAGGGTTTGGAGTTCGGTATCTCTTGTGTCTATTAGCTGTGTGCGAGCCTGTGCGTGTTACTTAAACTCTCTGACACCCAGTCTGGTGGATTCACCTGGCCCAAGCCAAGTGGCAGTCAATGGAAACTACTATTCTTCTGACTTATTCTTAGCAGTCCCATTCCCAAACACAGTGGTAGACGAGAAAGGAGAAGTCTTCAGCATTGGATACGTCAAGTGTATGGTTACGGTGTTGACCCGCAGCACAACTGGAAAGAAGCACACGGTTGTAGACCTAGCAAGCCTGGCTAGGACAGTGACTCTCCTTGAGATTTTCCTCATGTTTTGAGATTTCCTGTCACCTGCACTCAGGAATTGTATAGATGAGAAAATGGATGCTAAGGAAGATAACTCTTCAAGACACCACCACTATGCCCTGGAGAGGTTATGCGTGTGGTACGAGGCGTCCGGTGGTGGCACGGATTACACTGGGCTGCAAGGTCAGGTGAAGGCGGGGACTGTCCACTCCCACAGGGAGTTCCTGTCTCAGAAATGCACGGGGCCGCTGAGCTGGCATCCACTCGATGGCAGTGAGTTGGTTTGAGGTGGTATAAAGAAGAGCTTGGTAGAAGTGGCATATTTCACGCAAAAATGAGTTTTAAGTGGGCAGCCGTCTGAAGTCAGAAATGTAGTGGTATCTTATTCGCAGGCATCTGTGAGGCGCCCTGGTGGCACAGGGTTCCGTGTTGGGCTGTGGTCCACGATGGTGGGGGACTGCGTGCTGGGTGCTGGCAGAGCAGGTGGCCCGTGCCTAGAGGACGTTTAAACCGAGAGGTTTGCCTCGTCACCTCGGCGATGGTGCATGCGCAGCACCATGTGCTCCACTAGCCAGTGTCTCCAGACGCTCCCGCAGCGAGCGTGCGCTCAGGGGAAAGCCACCGGAGAAGCCGTTCCTGCGTCTTTTCTGTCATTCTGCTACATACCCGACATGGTGGTTCTAACACTAAAGTAAACTTTAAAAATCACCCTACACTAAACTTCTGTTCCAGTGTAGCAGATTACGTTAAGTCCGTGGCAAATGACGCCCCAGCGACAGGGCTCAAGTCCCAGGGAAGTCCCGGGAGCCCTCAGCTTGGGGGAGGGGAAAGGAACTGTCTAGACTTGGCACTGGATGGCGACTTTCCATGAGGTGGATTCTTTGACTTACATCCTCCACTTCCATCTGTGAGTAGATGACAGCTCCCTGTTTCTCACCTACCTCATACAACGTCCATCTCGTGTCCCTAGAGTCCCGGAAGGTCCTCCTGAGGAAGGACACCTGTGCATGGTCCCTGCAGTCCAGGAATTTGTAACGTCACAGGAGGAGCAAGGCTGCCAGATGGTTCACAAATGAATGAAGCACTTCAACCAGGCAGGGGAAGGGGCAACACAGGGCGTGTCGTGAAGGTGATACTCAATTGGCCCCGTTAATAGAAGACTCCACTGAAAACAACAGACAGAATCCCAAGCTCCCTGCCACTGAGTCCATGCTGAGTCACAGCGGCCCTACAGGACAGGGGAGAACTACTCCTCTGAGCTTCCAAGATTGTCCCAAGGAACAGAAAGCCTAGTCTTTCTCCCAGAGAGCGGCTGGTGGTTTCCAACTGGAGCCCTGTGGTAGTTACCTAATCTGGTGTCAATTTGGGACTTGAGAGGATTAAGAGTGAAGGGGTGGAGTCTAGTCTGTCAATCAGATCACAGCCAATGAGGCCTCTGTGTGGGCCTGGCCTTCTCCTGAGAATTCTGGGAACTCCTGTATTTCCTCCTTGGGGGGGAGGACAGGTTCTCTCTCGGTTCACTCCCTGTGAGACATCCCTGAGGAGAAGCCACATGGACCTACCCTGATGCAGCCCTGGGTGCTGGAGCAGCCGTGTGGAGACCCCTGCCAGCGCTGAGATGCTTATAATGCCACTGGATCCAAAGACTTTCTACCCACTGGCCTGTGATCGCTCTGCATTCGGTGTCACTGCATGTGCTTAATGAGTCTGAAGAGGGCTTCATAGATTGGTATCGGACAAATGGGCTAATATCAGACTTATGGACATGATCTGGACTGGGCTGGGATGTTTTCTCAATGTTCAATTCCTCTTGTATATAAAACTTTTTAAGACATATGCGTGTTTATGAATTTGCTTCTCTCGTCTACCCAGACTAACACAAGCCCAATGTTATGCATGAGCCCAATGTTATGCACGACACCACCAGGCCTCCTGCTACGCCGCTAACTGGAGAAGAGTTACAAGACACCTGGAGTCACTGATGCTACAGACGGAGGGGCTACTCAGGACGTCGGGAACCCATACATAAACCAGAGAGAACACTTACTTCCACCAAGTCCATGTCCTTCAGACTCAGTCCTGTTCGCTTTAGTGCCCCGCTGATAGCAGGAACAGGGCCTGTGTGAGAGGAAAAATCAATCTCATCTTTTATTCATTTGCGTCTCGAGATTCTCCTTGACTGTGGAGGAAATGATGACAGTTATCAGCCACCACACATCTCGCTGCCTTGATGGCACCCACACGATGCACCGCGAGAGCCGTGAGAAACAACAAAGGAGACCCGGATGCAAAGCTCGCTAACTCTGGGCCGTGGGGAGACTTCTGAGGAGAGTTCTCTCGCAGCATCGCCGTCAGCCAGGAGTCCGCTGCAGGCTCTGGCAGACGCCTGCGGTTCATGCTTGACGGCCAGTGAAAGGCCCACTGAGCGCCTCCCTCGGACCACTGCCACGCGCTCCTGCCCCCAGGGCAGAGTGAGTGACTGCGGCCACGCGCTGCCTTCCCAGGCCGTGTGGACACCAGGCATGGGACTCAGCACCATCACCACTTAGGCACAGCACGGAGGGCGCCTGGAGATGCTTAGCGAAAGGTGTCTCCCGCCCACACCCACTGAACCAAGAGACAGAGACACTGATGATGTCAGCCGTGGCTGTGCTGAAGAAGAGCATTTCTGAAATACACCGTAGTTCTTAGATCTCCCATGATCACCAAGAATTGTTTGAAACGGCTCAATTCCGCCCGACCCCAGAGGTGAGGAAATCTTACTAGAGTAAGACGACTTTTCTACCTGTCTGATGCCAGAGAATAGAAGTGCGCTAAATGTCTCGGTAGGGAAATATGTGGGACTTCCATGGAATTCAAGTAGTCAAGGCACTCTGAAAAATTTCCCAAATACACATAAACATAAAATGGCAAGTCAGTCTTCATAGGAAAGGCACGAAATCGTGTCGATGTAAAAGTTAATTTTGTCACCACTGTCCAAATGCTGTCCGCTTACTGGTGAGGGTGAGGGCCACTCGCAACCACTCTCCAGGGGGGGCACCAGCTCTGTGGCAGCTACTTGCTTAAAGCGGTCAGCTTCCGACACCCCCCCACCCACCTCGGAGGCACAAGCTGAGCGGGACAGTCCACCACAAGGAGGACCCCGCGGTCAGCCACATGCTGGGTGACATTGCTGCCAGCGTGAAAAGCGGAGGGCGTGGCAATCCGCTGCGTGGAAAGGACAGCAGAGTCCCCAGTCTGCTACAAACCCAGGACGCCCGCTTCCACACGCTCTTGCTGACGCAGAATCAAAAGGCCACTGCTGGGTGTTTATAGGGCTGTTCCCGGCCCCTTGGCTATTCACCGGGACCCAGGAAGGGTTAGCCCTCTTGGTTGGGAAAATAAACCTGTCATTCTCTCGTGGGGCCTGCCACCAAAAGCTGTCAGGGGGGCCTGGGGGCCGGCACCACTGTGGGTGTGAACCTTCTTATCAGAAGAAACTCTCTTGAATGGGTGTCTTTTTGAGTGAGCAGTAGACTCCTTCCTACGAAGGACGGCCAACATCAGGTAAAGCCAGAGACGCTGCAGCTGGAGACACTCGGAGCCCCACCCCCAGTCCCGGCCAGCAGAGGTCCCGGGGGGCTGCCTGTCCACAGGGAACTGCTCTTTGTCCCTGTGCCACCAGGACTCATCCTTTCTCCCTGTGCCCAGATGAGACGACAGCTCCCAAACCCCATGGGGCAGCTCTCTGTCACCCGGGGCCGCCAGGAGTGGAAATCGGCTCCTAGCACCTACCTCACAGTCCAAGATGGCAAGCCAGCCGGCAGCAATCTTTCTGAAGAGCCCCGGGCAGAGAGGAGGTCTCTGAAGGGGCTGGCTGCACAGGGGGCTGACTGTTAATGGCATCACAACCCCCGGTACAAATCTCTGCAGCCTCACTTCCTTCTCCACAATGAAACCACACCGCGGGTGCTATGGGCAGACGAAACCACATGCTGGGCGGTGGGGGAGGGGGGGCTGCCCTCTCCACACCATTTCAGCCCACCACATATGGTGATAGGAGTTTCTGCTGCCTCGGTTTTCCTCGTGTGCCGGCACAGGTCTGAGTGTGTTAGACCGTTCATCCAAACGGACTGCGTGAATGTTGGAGGATCCACCTCCTTTTCTCCCAAGCGATGCTGCTGTAGCCATCTGAGCTCCCACCAGCAGGTACCTCCAGACGCAGAACAAGCTTGCGTCACCATCCACTTACCAATGCCCATGATCGCGGGGTCGCAGCCAGACACAAAGTAGCCCACGACTCTGGCCAGCGGTGTGAAGCTGTGTTTCTTCACGGCGTCTTCGCTGGCGATGACGACCGCTCCAGCGCCATCAGACACCCCCTGGGAATCAAAGACAGTGAAGCAACCAGCAGGGGCAGGGACCGGGCCGCGAAGCAAGGTCGGAGCGGCCGGAGCCGAGCTGGGGACGAGGGTGACACAAAGGGAGTAGTGGCATCATCCCAGTGGGACTTGGGTGGAAGAAAGAGCCTGTTCCAGGCACAAAGGACCTCCAGGAACGTGGGAAAGGAAAAGCTTCCGCCCAGATGTGGGGAACGTACGACAGTTGTTTAAAGGAAATTCCAGACATCGAGTCAATTCTGACTCACAGTGACCCTCCAGGACAGAGCAGAACTGCCCCTCAGGGTTCCCGAGGCTGCAAATCTTCATAGAAGCCCACTGCCCCTCACTCTCCCCAGCCCGGCTGGTGGGTTCCAACCACCCAGCGCTCAGTTCGCAGCTAAGCACCGAACCACCGTGTCGCGAGGGCTCACGGAGCTGTTCACATGAGCAAAATAAAAAACAAATAACCCCAAGCCAAATTAAAGATCAGCTAGATTTCCTTGCAACATTCTGGAGGCTAGAACTAAGCAGCACATTTGAAAAGGGCCTCTAGTTAAACTATTGCTCGGCTTTGGAGCACAAAAATTCAAATTAATACAAGTCTGAACACTGCTGCTAAACCACACCAAACGAAACAAGCACCTGGTTGCCACCCAGCCCACCCGGGGTCAGCCCGGTGGGTCGGGGGTTCTCAAAGCCTAGTCTTCTCCGCAGGCACAGCGCCAGGCCATTCTTCCAAGAGGCCTCCGCAGGAACGGGGACCTCCCATCTTTCGATAGCAGCGGAGTGGGATCGCCATTGATCCTACCCAGCACTCCTACGTCGATGACACAAACTCATGGTCACTGAGGCCGTGCTGATGCCCAGGGCAGGGTAGAACGGGCCCTGTGGGTTTCCGAGACAGTAACTCTTTATGGGTGCAGAAAGCCATCCTTCTATGGAGCAGCTGGTGGTTTCGCTGAGCTGGCAGTTATCAGCCCAACTTGTAACCAGGGCTCCAGGAGCACTATACTCGTTTTAGCTAAATAACCAAACGCGAGCACCCTAAGTACGTAACAGAACCCTCATGCCGCTCTTGCCCTGAGCACATCCGGGAAGTGTTCAGCAGCCTCTGCGGTGACACCCACCGAGGCGTTTCCTGCCGTGACGGTCCCCTCCTTCTTGAAAACCGGAGGCAGTTTGCTCAGCTGTTCCAGGGTGGCCTGGGGCCGAGGGTGCTCGTCCACTTGCATGGTCTGTTTTCCCTTCTTCGTCTTCACCTCGATGGGCGCCATCTCCGCAGTGAAGCAGCCAGCATCGTTAGCTGAAACAGGAGAAACCGGGAAATGCCCACACGCCCACGGCTACCAAGCCCGATTCTGACTCGCAGTGACACCGCAGGGCATTTAGCAGAACTGGCCCTGGGTCTCAGAGGCTAGTGGTTTTGAATGGATGGCCTTTCGGTCGGCAGTCTAACTTGTACCACCCCACACCACCAGGGGTCTCTAGGACACGATGACAGTGCCCAATAGGTGGCCCACCCCTATATATTGATAGATGTATGGTCCACTAACCAGCTTTCCACCGCTGCTGGGATTGTAGGGCGTATCTGTCACATTGTTCTCTGCTTATTGAATGCTTGGCAGCAAGATTCTCTGCAGTAATTCCCATGGGGAGCTGGACGTGCTGGTCCGTTAATCCGGCCCACAAAGAATCTTCCATCTATGAAAACCATGAATAAAAGTGATTTGTTCAAGCCTAGGTTTGAAAGCAATGTCCGATAATTTCATAACTATTTAGGTGATTCACAGAGGTCCAATACACAAAAATAAAATTAGACTTTCTGTTAAGCATTTACTAGGAGCGACTACTATTCATATTTGATTCCATAACATTTTGTTTTTCTAAACAGCCAATGCCATCATAAATCGCATAGATTCTCATCTCTCGATAAATGCGGAGAGCCAGCAATGCTAACTGCACAGCCTTCTGAAAAGACATCTTAAAGGGAAACTGTTGTTAATCAACCGGTGCAAACTCCTGAACAGGTGTGCTAAACACGTAGAACTGGGGTGAGCATGCACAGATATGAAAGCCCTGTCTGCCTTGTGAGAAAATAAATCACGTGTGGTATTTCCCTTCTCACTGCTCTAGGGAATTCTAACGGGGCGCCACGGAATGTTTGACCTTTTGTGTTTGCCTGACTTCTCTCAAAACTCATCCGAAGTGTCGCAAGCACCCCACACGTCACAGAGTGTGCCAGGACTTCTCTAGAGCCCTGGCACACCCCTCTGTCTGGATGGGCCTGTTATGCTTTATCTAGTCCTCTGCTGACTGACATTTGTAGTCGTGCCACATCGGGGCTTTCCTGCCGCCCTGAGTGCTATCATCCAAGTCTCTAGTTTGTGTTCGGAGTGAGCACCGAGCATACCCAGGAGTGGAATGCTGGGCCACATGGTAGCTCTACCGTGTATACTCGAGTATAAGCGGAGTTCTTCAGCCCATTTTTATGCAGTTTCTGTGGTAAAATTAGGCGCTGATATTCGGGTCGGCTTATACTCGGGTATATACAGTATGTTCAATTTTTTGAGACCTCGCCGCACTGCTTTGCACAGAAGCTGCCTCATTTCACACACCCACCAGCAGTACGCAGGGTTCTGACTCGCCACCTCCTTACCACATATCCCGTCCCTCCAGGTTTGGTATATGATGGAGCCCTGGTAGCTGTGGGTTACGTGTTGGGCTGGTACCCCTAAGTTTGGTGATTCGCCAAAAGAAAGTTGAGGCTCTCTGATCCCTCACAGGGTCACCGTGAGTTGGCATCCACTCGAAGGCAGTGGGCTTGTTTATTTATGTTCCTCAGCCCAGTTAAGTGTGACTTGAGATCTCACTGTGGTTTAGATTTCCAACTCCCTAGTGATTAATAAAAAGGAGCCCTGGTGGCTTGGATGACCAGATAAAATAAAACAGGCTCGCTGCGAGGTCAGCCCACCAATCACTCCAGGGGAGACAAGTGAGCCTGTCTACTCCTGTTAAGAGTTAAAAGTTTCAGAAACTCTAACGGGGGAGTTCTTCTCCTGCCGGGTCATGAGTGGGAACTGACTGCTGGCAGCGCGTTTAGTCCATGAGTAAAGACTGAACCGCTCGTCCTGTCTGTCAGACGTGAGCACAGCTCCTCTGGAGCGCTGTCGTTTATCCATTTCTTAATAGGGCTGCCTTTTTGCGATTCGGTTGTAGTTTTGAGAATCTGGATATTCAACCCTTATCAGCTATACGGTTCCTATATATCTGATATTTTCTCCTGGACCGGAGGTGTTCTCTTCACTTGCTAATAAAGTTCTTTGATGCACAAATTCCCATGATTTTTTAATTCCATTTTCCCACGAACCTTTTGGAAGCCGCCCTCTCTTCCCTGGTTAAATTTATTCCTAGGACATTGATTTTTTTTCAAGATGGCACTAGAAATAGACTAGTTCATTTCCTTCTCAAATTTTTCACTGCTGATGCGTGAAAAAAACCAACTGATTTTGGTGTCTTGATCTTATACCCTGAAACTGTACTGAATTCATGTACAAGGTCTCCACTCGCTTTTGTGGCTTCTTTGGTATTTTCAATACATAGGCTGATGCTGTCAGCACATAGCTTTACTTCGTCCTTTCTGATCTGGATGCCTTTTATTAGTTTTCCTTCCCTAATCACCCTGCCGAGAGCTTCCAGCAGATCACTGAGCAGCAGTCATGGAAGCGCCATCGTTGTCTTGTCTGCGATCTTAGGAGAAAAGATTGAAGTCTTTCCCCATGGGGTGAGCTTCACTGAGCACCTCTCATGAAAATCCTTGATCATTCTGCAGAATTTCCCCATTGTTTCTACTATTTCTAGTGTGTTTTGGTAATGATAGGGTGTGGACACTTATGTCTCACTCGTGGTAATCTGCGGCTCTCCCCTTTGTGTTACCACTGTGGTGTGTTACAGTGAGTTCCTGTATGCCTGGGATAAGTCCTACTCGGTCTGAGGATGCTGTTGGGTTTGGTTTGTTGCTATTGTGTTGAGGAGTTCAGTAACCATAGTGACAGGAGGTATAGCTTGCAGTCTTCTTTCTTTGTGGTGTCTTTATCGGGCTTTGTAATTGGGGGAATGCTAGCCTCACAGAATGAAACAGGGAGTGTTTCCTACTCTTGTATTTTTGTGGCAGAATTCACCAGTAAAGCCACTGATCCTGGACTATTTTTTGAGGGATTCTCTCTGTCTCCCATGTCTATGACCATTTTTGCTAGTTACCATAATTCCACTACTAGAGGTATGGTGGGAAGTGGGAAACCAAGGAATGGGAAGAGAGTGTATGCGGGCAAATTCTTTATTCTCATAATTAAGAAGCCTGGGAGGCCAGGGTTCTGGGTGGAGGGAGACCTTCACACTTGTGAGTTAGAGGTGAGTTTCAATCATATTCTCGTAATTAAGATTAAACCCCACAATATCCTTCCATAATAGTGCTACCTTAAAGTGACCTCTTACAAGCACAGGGCTGATTGCTATCTGGCCGGCAGCTTTATCTATAGGAGCAGACATGTTGCTATTGTTCTCCCTGCTCAGTGGACAGTAACACCCCCCGCCCCCCTTACCTGTCCCCAGCACTGGTGTTAGATTACTCAGGGACCTCAGGGCTAAGGTAATGCCCACTTTGAACTCAAGGACCTCTAGGGTTAAAGTACTGCTCACTTTGTTACATATGTGGTTACCTGTAATTAAGGGGGATTGCATGCCCCGAGACTATAAAAGTTGATATAAGAAAACATTTTTTCTCCCGGACTTGGTTCCAGATACCACAGAGGAGATGAGCACCCCAGAACTTTTGTGTGCCTCTTAATTTCTTCCCCACAATTACAAAACCATCCCTTAGGACCCATCCAGATGTGGGCTGGATCCCACAGTGGAAGGAAATCTAAATGCAGATGAGTTAAGATACCAAAATGAATAACTGAATATGGTTTTGAAATAGTTAACATTTTGCGAATCATTTACATTTTGCCAATCTCCATGAACAAAAATGAGTTTAACAATTATTTCGCCACCCTCTAAACAGTGTTATTAAAATTACTGATATACTAGTAAGAGGAATCATTTTCTTGAAGTTTAAGGGACGAACCTTGAGATCAGATCCAAACTTGGTTCCAAAGCGTACGTTCCTGACGCAGTAGGGGGCCTGGCTCATGCTTTCTGTTCCTCCACACAGAACAACGTCAGCGTCTTTAACACCGATTTCCTATGAAAACACACAAAGCATCCAAACCACCTGTCACCCTGCCAGACCATGTTCCGTTCTCAGGATTTATAAAGGACAGCTCTAGTAACTCATCGTGCTGCTTTACCACATCGCGAAGGACAGTGATTTTACAGGAACTGTAAAGCAAATGTTAAAGGCTCCATTCTGAAAGCATATGGTGGTGGTGGTGGGTGGGGGCTTTATCACATTTTTGCATAGATAACAGGCCCCCACAATTATTTCATGGAGCTTTGGCAGCATCGAGAGTTATGCGTTGGGCTGCTAACCGAAAGGACAGGAGTTCAGAATTACTCAAAAACAAAAACAAAAAAAACCCCACAAACAAACAAAAACAACCCCAACACACTCACTGCCATTAAGTTGATTCCAACTCAATGCAAGGTTACAGCACAGGGTGAACCGCCCCTGTGAGTTTCTGAGGCTGTAACTGTTTACGGGAGTAGAAAGTCCCAACCTTCTCCCCAGTAGGTGGTTTCGAACCGCTGACTTGCAGTTAGCAGCACAACCTGTAACCACTATGCCACCAGGGCTCCTCTGAAACTATGAGTCACTCAATAAACGGCAGCCACAATTAGCCTTGACAAGAATATTTTCCTCCTTTGAATCTCTTTTTCTGTGGTCCCCTCACCCGGAAAGCTCCAATCATGACTTCTAACAAGTGTTACAAAATAACAAGCTACAATGTGATGTGGAATTAGGGCACTTTGTCTCATAATCATTACCATATTTTGAGGGAATCAAATAAAATACTGCCCTTACCTGACATCCATTTATAATGGACTGGAAACCGGAGCCACAGAGCCTGTTAATCGTGAGAGCCGGCACCTCTTTAGGGACTCCTACTCGCAAACCCACGTGCCTCGCCAAGTAGGCAGCATCTGAGGAGCTCTGGAACAAGGGAGAGAGAAAAAGAATATCGGCCACAAATCTTGAGATTAAGAAGCTAGGGCGTAATACATGGAAATTGTGGCAATTTGTCAAAAGTAATTCAGGAGGGGATACCCCCCAAAAAACC